CGCATCTCGGAGTGAGGCTTCTCGACCCCGCACAACATGATCTACTCGACCACCGAAGAAGCATGGGAAGGAAATAAGAAGGTAGTGAAAAACTCGAGGCGGTGCAGATGAAAGCAGCGGNTGGGAGAGGAGAGGTTGCCGAGAATAGTGTGGGAGGCGAAGTGGGCAAACTATAAGAGTGGTAGACAACCCACGGAATGGGTCAAGGTTGTAGAGGACGTATGGAAGGGGCTCGACATCGACGAAGATGAAACGCTGGAAACGGAGGGTCTACAGGGNTTCAAGGAGAAGATATCTGTTGCTTGTGCCGAGAGAGAAGAACAGAATCTGAGGAAAGAATCCAAGGATAAGGAGGGTCTAGAAGTGTACGGAATGTTGAAGGAAGGAATAGGGTTCAAGGATTACCTACATGGACCAATGGATGCAGGAACAAAGCTTTAGGTCAAATTCGGGGNAGGGGCTCGACATCGACGAAGATGAAACGCTGGAAACGGAGGGTCTACAGGGGTTCAAGGTGAGGATATCTGTTGCTTGTGCCAAGAGAGAAGAACAGAATCTAAGGGAAGAATCCAAGGATAAGGAGGGTCTAGAAGTGTACGGAATGTTGAAGGAAGGAATAGGGTTCAAGGATTACCTACATGGACCAATGGATGCAGGAACAAAGCTTTAGGTCAAATTCGGGGCCGGGGACATAGGTCTTCGAGAACGTCGGCGAAGACATAGGACGGTAGACGACGAAGACGACAAGTTCAAATGTGATTGCCGCTTCGAATGCGACGACCGTGTTCATGTAGTCGCGGAATGTCCGTGGTACAAGAAGGAGAGGGAAGTGTACATTACTGAGCTGGGGAAGATGCAAGGGAGGTGCAGGGAGATGTTTGAGGCATGGAATAGAGAGGAAAGGACGGTAGCTGTACTGGGGAGTAGTAAGTGGGTTGAAAAGGCGGGAAGGGATATCGTTAGGATAGACAGACTAGGGAAGACATTTTTGAGCTACCTGTGGCAAAGTAGANCCCCCCCCCCCGTTTATCCTCACCGGAAGCAGTCCAGCTTCTCGGCCACGGTGAACTCCGTCAGCGGCCAACCGACCCCGCCGCCGCCCCCGGCCTCCCCGGCCTCCATGGCCCGCTCGAGCCACGACAAGAACGCCGTCAGCGCGACACCGTCGCGCACGTGCGCTTCCCGAAGACCCTGTTGAGACGGTGCGGCGCGGGCAGACCGGTCAATCGTTCAGCCCTCCCTTTCCGCCCGTTTGGTGAAAGCTGGGTGGTAGGTGGTGCGCGAAAAGCGAAACCGCTACATACGATCTGTTTGGAGAGCGAAGCACGATTTCGCGCGCGCGCGCGCTTTCCGGACCCGAGTGTGTCATTCGTATTCCCCAAGGTGGACGGCATGTGGTTCGTGATAGTAACAAGCCATAGAGTACTACGTAGCGGGATATGTACGTAAGCCGCAATTCTTCGGAAACGAAAGGGTCCCGCCCTTCTCGGCGAAGCTGTTCCGTTCTTTCCCTTCTGCTTGACGACGATTCAGCACACGGCGCGCCCTCATCCATTCAACTCTCTCTGTCTCTGTGGGTGCATACAGCACGCGCCCCACTTTTTTTTCTTACATGCGAGACTGCAGCGAAAGCTAGTTGTAGTCGGCACTCAGGATTGTAAAGAGCATCGGACTGTTGCCTCAGTTCTCGCCTGTAACTCTTAAACACCGACGCGCCTCCCAGCGCCCACCCTCACAACGCACACAAACCCGAAAAACAGACTGCAAAGAAGCAGCACTTCTCTTCTTTTCCACACACATTTGTCGTGCGCGACCGCACATTTTGTTGTGCGTGCGCATGTGTGGTGAATACACACAATGTCTCAAGACTCGCTTCTTAGATAGAGATGGATTCGTTGGGTCATACTAGAAAAAAAAAAAAAAATGAGTGACAGCAAGCGTACACACGCAGCGGTCCATTCAGTGCCGTGCGTTTCACACGCTGGCTTTCTTCCGTCTTGCCTGCAGTTCCTGTTCGTTCTTGAGCGCCTTGGCGAGAGCGATGGGCGACGCCTTCTCCAGCACCAGGGAGGCGGGGACGGCCTCTCTCACAGCCAAGTTCAGAGAGCTTGGCATCAGCACCCTACCCGTGGCACTGCTGTCACAGCTGCTGCCGCCGCTGGCGCCGTTGTCCTTGTCGCTACTGCTGATAGGGTGTCCACGAAAGGATGGGGGGGGGGTCAGCAGCCGCGAGGTCACGGCCATGTATGTAGTGGAAAAATCTCCGACGTTCCGCGGTATATGTAGCATCGCAATGCCATCCGCTGCATACTCCCAGGCACAAATGTGGGAGATAATATCTCTCTCCCTCGCACAGGTGTGGTCGGGACACGCGTCGTTCAACCACCACCACGTGTAGGCACCTGAAACCGTCGTGAAAAAGGTTTTCCATCATATCGACGCTCCAGGGGGGGAATGAAACGAGCTAGCTCGTGGGACCTAGCAAAAACTGCTAGAAGTCAGCACCAAAGGCATGCCTTTCAAACGGTTTCATGTTTTTCACGGGCGTGTACCTCTTACTAGTGGTTAATGACGGACGGTCTTTACTGTCTGGCCGGGTCTATCGTCTGGCGCTTTTCCTGCTCTTTCCGCCTTTATGCCGTTTGAAACTCCGCACATAACAGCCCGGTCACCGAGATCCTCTACGTCGGCCGTCGGTATCAAGTTTCAAGCGTTTCAAGTCGAACCTTGGGGGTTCCGGTTTGGTTATCTTAGGCTTTCCGTTCTCATCTTGGAGGAATTTACATCTCTCCTATTGCTGTCGCGCAGACACGGAGAAACAAGCATGACGTTTCCTCCCTGCGATCAGTTATCACCAGGCTTGTTCCTGTTTTGACTGAACCAAACGACTTGTGTTTCACGTTGACCGAGGAATGCTATTACCTACTTGTGCAGCCCTAACCTTGGGTTAACCGTTACTACTAGCTGCTCGTTGCGGCGGTTCGCGCGGTCGTGAGTGACAGTACTTGCGATGAACTTGCAGCCAACAACATCTCGTTCTCCTCCCCCTCCTATCCGCATTCCGACCGGTTTTTCCTCCGCTGTTTGCCGCTCCTCCGTTGGTAGGCAAACATCGAAGGTTAACCCGTAGGAGTGCGGATAGGCCAGCGAGAAAGAGTGAGATTTCGTTGGCTCCAAGTTCATCACCGCGCAGAACACGAAATGAGAATGAATTTCCAAACAATTATCAATCAGGCTTGTTTGTGATTGAGTGAACCAAGCGACTTGTTTCCCACGTGGGCCGAGGAATGCTGCCGACGTGGGCAACCCTATCCTTTGCGTAAATTTCTGTACTCCTACCCAGTGGCTAACTTAGCTGCTTGTTGCGGCGGTCTGCGCGGTCGTGACTGAACCTCAACCTTGCGCAGATAAACTTGCAACCAATGACATGTCGTTCTTCTCCATGTCCTATCCGCATTCCGACGGGTTTTTCCTCCGCTCTTGTTTGCGGAGGAAACCCCGGCCGGAATGTGCATGGGGCAGCGAGAAGAGTGAGATTGAGATTATTGGCTGCAAGCTCATCAGCGCACAGACACGTGTTGAGCATGACATTCGTCACTAATGTGATCAATCAGGCTCGTTCGTGTTTCGACTGAGCCAAACGACTTGTGTCCCACGTCGGCCGAGGAATGCTGTTACCTACTTGTGCAGCCCTAACCTTGGGGTGATTTTTGTACCCCTTTTCAGCGGCTAACTCATCACGGTGAGGAATTTCATGCTCATTACGTTTCTGCGCGCTGATGGACTTGCAGCCAATAAAACCTCGCTTTTCTCCCTGGCTTACCCGCATTCCGACGGGCACTGCCTCCGCTGTTTGCCGCTCCTCGGGTCGGTAGGCAAATAGCGGAGGAAAACCCCGTCGAAACGCGGACAGGAAAGCAAAAGAACCAGATGTTTTTGGTTACAAGTTTATCAGCGCAAGTGCCATATCACTCACGACCGCGAAAACCGCCGCAACGAGCAGGATAAAAAAAGTTAGCTTCTTTTGACTAAGGGTACAAAAATCACCCGAGGATAGCGTTGCCCCAAGTAGGCATTATCCCTCGACCAACGTGGAACACAAGCCGTTTGGCTCAGCCCAAACGGTAGGAACAAACTGGAACACGTTGCAGGTGGAGGGTGAGAAAGCCAGAGCAGACGAGAGGGACGCGAAACACACACTGCTGCAAAAACTTCGTACGATATCCGGTGGGAAATGAAGCAACAACAACACTCGAAAAAGGGCGGGGGGTAATGTGGGCGTCCCATAAAAGTGTAAATACCATCTCCTCAACGTCTGCCTGTAAAGGATGATTCCCTCTTTTCACGCTCACCTCGTAAGGATGCTCTGAATTATTTTGTTGGTTGAAAACTCAATTTTGATTCCTTGCGGTATCTCTTGCTGCAATGTATTATCTCGCCACGAGCTGAGGGATGCACCTGTCGATCGGCAGCAGCGGTCCTGGTGCGGTGCCGGCAGCTGCGGGCGAAGGCTTCGGCTTCAGCGTTCGGAGTTCGGGCAGGAGAGCGTCGTATGGCTTGATGGTAACGCCGGCCTCCATCAAATGCTGCAAAACATCGGGGGAGTTGCACGCAAGGAGGCCAACGTCGGGAGGGGGGGAGGTTGAAGGGCGGCACTCGCCCGTTTCTGCCCAGGTTATGTTTAAAGTTCCATAGATAGTTTCGTCCGTTGACCCCTCCGTAGAATCATAATCCTTGCGAAGGAGAGCAACTTAAAAGCTCTCCGGAACGGGCTCATGGTCAAGTGAGGAATGAGAATTGCTCATGGCTGTTGTTGCCACACTAAGGATATAATTCGCTTCGAGGAGGAGTGCAGGGGGTCCGGCATCCCGCAGGGACACACAGAAGCATCGTCCGGCCCCTCACCTGCTCCACTCCCTCCCCGAGCTTGACCGCGTCGATGAAAAGGAATGCGTCCTCTTGCGTGAGCAGCGAGGCCGCGAAGGTCACCGGGTTGTACAAGATGTCGCTGCCTCTGATGTTGAAGAGCCACGCCACCTGTAGGTTGCAAAAGGCGTTGCTTTCAGATGAGCTTCTTCACGGGCGTCAGACGCACACGAGCGATTTCAGGGAAACCGACCCCATGCACGCTCGCGGAGAGACAAGCCGTTCAAAAAAAACAAAACAGGTTTCATGTCTTGAAGAAATAACCAACGCCCGACATAAAACGCAAGAACCTATAGGTAGACAACGTGGTCGGTGCAACGTTCTTGTGCAAGGCCAGCGCCGAGTGTTGCTTACATCGTCACAAGGTGTCGCGAACACAGCGAGCCGATTTCCTTGTCGGGATACGAACAAACAAACAAAAGCTCTTGCTACACCTAGAAATGAGTCCCGGTTTCTGGTTGTAGGCGGCCTTTCAGACACGTTTTGTCAGAATCCCATCGGCGGCTAATCGATGCAAACTGCAAGAAAAAGGTAGATAGTCGTTCGTACCTTTTCCATTGCAATGACCGCTCTAGAGACGAGGCCCTCTCCCTCAAGACGAGCTCCAACCACACACATTCCCTCTTTACTGCAAGCAAAAGTCGTTCGGCCGTGTACGTACCTCATCCATTGCCATGACCACGAGGGACGAGGCCCTCTCCTTAACAACAAGCTTTCGCACCGCAGCGATCTTCTCGGAGACGCCAACCCCGGCGAACTTGAGAGGGTGTACTCGCACGGGTCGCCGAGGGACTGGTGGCTGGTCGGTCCATATCTCATCCACCAGGTTTCTGCCGTTTCGAATTGTTTGGTTTTTGGCGGAGTATATCCTCCGGTTGGATGAGCGTGTGTGTGCGTGGAATGAGAGAGTGGAAACTACGCCACGTGCCAGCGGAGGAAAGTGCACAAGAGGGTGTTGGGCATAGGAACAAGGACGTTGTAATCTCCTACCCGTGCTTGTACCCACCAAGGCACGGCTGCGCCATCTCTCCACCCCCCCGTCTCTCTCTCGCTATCGTTGTTTCTCGTACCCACTGATCGGCACCAAACACCCTCCGCTCGCCGCAAGCTTCGAGGTAAGAGTCCTCGCCGTCCCCGCCGACAGCAACCACGGATCGACTCCCACTCGAAAGCCGCCCACCCCCATCCCGCCCTTCTTGCCCCCGGCGCCGTCTGCAGCAGGAGCGACGGCAACAGAAACGGCAGTAGCCTCGCTTCCCGGCACCGCTGGATCTTCCTCCTTGTGCTTCTCCTCCGCTGCAGCGGTGGTGGTTGCGGCGGACACCCCAGCATCGCGAACAGTGCCGGCCTCCTGCTCCAACCACTGCTCCAAGGTGGGCACGTCTTTCTCGCCGAGGCGCATGAGCATCCAGTCTGCGCTCAGCTGTTGGCTCGCCTTTTTTTCCGTTGCAAGATGAGCCGAAACAATACGTACCGGGCGTGGGGTAGGTGTTCAATTGGAAGACAAACAACATTTTTCGTGGTGAATAGATAGCGGCGAACGATTACAAACACCTACACCGGAGACGGAGCGAGATCTTTCTGTGCAAAGGACCGAAAGGTGTGCTAAAGATGGGCGTATCTGTCTGCGTGAAAAAACTCCGCGGAACATGTTTGTCACAAGAACAAATACAGTGTACGGGTGCATGTGTTCGACAAGGAAAACGGTCGTTGGCGACAAGATGGTACCCCACCATTTGTACCGATACTTCACACGCTATCCATAAACTCTTCAATCTCGGGTGCTCACTGGAGATCACGCCGGCAAGGGAGAGTGGGGGTGGTATCCTCCGTTACGCTTTTGCTTTGTCCTTGTTGTATCCATCACTAAACGCATACTCTGTACCATTAGCTTTGTCGCTGCAGATGATCGCATGGACATGTAGAAATCAATGGAAGCAACCCTTTCACCATGATCCCGTTCCAAGTAGTATGGAAACACTGCTATTGTTCGTGTGCTTCTGTAGGATACATGTATCTGTTGCAACAGCAGTTCAACCATGAGCAGGTGAGAACTCTCACCCATTCCCCGAGGCATGTTGCTGTTATTAGTGCATACCTGCAAGAAGTACCGACCATCAGTCCACATGAGCGCTTTCGTGTGTGTCACGAGCGCTGTTCCCGCAGAGCCCGTAAACCCCGTGAGCCACTCCCTCCGCTTGTCGTGGTCGGCGACATACTCACTATGATGAGCATCCTGCGTCTCTACAAGATAGGCCGAGACTCCCCGCGCTTGCATTGCAGCGCGAAGGAGGCTGAGCTTCTCCTGCTTTCCATCATTGGCGGCAGATGAGGCAACAGAAACGCTATGCCCACCGTTCGAGGGGGTAGCGATACGCGCCTTCTTTGGCACCAAAGAGGACATGGCCCGTCTTCCCTACAATGCCTGAAGTTGATGTGGGACCTCTCAGCACAAGCACGGAGCTGCAGAGAGCACACGGCCGAGATGTCGACGTACCCTAATTCCCAGTATCGAACCCCTTCGTCGTAACACTCCGCACACGCAGCCAGGTATCAGGGTGCACCGCTTCGCGCCTTGCTGCTGCTGTGCGTGCCATGAGTCTTAAAGATGCAGTTTCAGCTCTTCGCTCGCTCAAGGCGGAGCTCGAGGCCTGTCGTTCTTCTAAAGCGGAACTAGAGGTTGCCTACCGTGGAGTCCTCAATGTGAGGGTCATTCGATTTTTCGTCGCCGCCGTACGGGATCGTCTCTGTGAATACCACTGCTTTAGTCTCTACACTACAGCCGTTATGCTGCTGCGCCATGTGTACTTTGATCTGCTGTTTCTCGTCTAGACTATGCAGTATGCTTGTGTAGATCTACAACAGTAACGATCTACTGTAGTTCTCGGAGGAAAGTATGGAGGTAACGGACGAGGAGAGTGAGTTGCGTGAAGCTTTATGTTGGTTCAGAAAGAAGGAAATATCTGTCCGCTACTGCTGTATTGCGACACCATTGGCAGCACTGCCGATTGCCCAATACCAGGTGCAGCCATGGGCCCTCCGTGAGAGCTTTATCGAGGAGTGTTATCTGCCAGGCCGATTTCACTATTTTAGCCCTATTGGAGGCACCCGCCCTATTCAAAATACTCGGGAGGACGAGACAACTTGATTTACTTCATCATGTTCCAACCTATTTCACCCGCCCTATTCCGGCCTCCCGCCCCATCTAACCCGCCCAACGTCGAGGGCCCGCGACTACAGCTCTCTGCTGCTGTAGATGCCCTCGTGGGCCCTCTGTTTGGCGGTAAATTATGTGCGAGGTTGATTCACCCACCGTCAAATTACTACTCCTACCGACCATTCGCCTTTTACCATGCACGTGAGTGCTGTATTGCTGCACCCGATACTACTGCGGTATTCCCGTACCCTTGGGACGAACAAGCCGAAAGGAGACCTGAACTATTGCACCACAGCGGCAGCACAACGTACCCGAAAGGCGAAATAACAAGACTATGTTGGGCGTGCAATCAAGATCATCTTAGTTATATCATTATGATGGTTTCAGAGCTGTGCAACTTGGCTGATTCGCGTTGCAGAGGCGTACAATGTTCCGTGGCACGCCCTTCCGTTGCTCTCCGTCTGTCCTTCTTTTCGTGGCCATCCCATCTTTCAATGTAACATGTGCAACTTCCCCCCCCTAAAGCTGAACGGAGTAATAATTGAACGGCTCTCTCGCACCCGTCCATCGACGAGAGGTTATTCCGTGTTAGTTCCGGAGAGTGGATCCGACTCTGAAATCTACCTTTGTCATGGAGTCTGTGGCGTACTCTGAAGAGGCCTGGCCTTTCTCGATGGGCGACACGTGTCTATCATCAATGCAGAATCTGTAGCACACCGCATCGAGATGGGCGGTGGAGCGAACGCCAACCGCCGTCTGCCCTCCGCTGACCCCCCCCTGACCACCATGGTTGACACGAATATAGGAGCTCCGGCTCGCCAAGGAAGATAAGCAATTAGAAGGACAGGACCCCTCTAGGAGCGTCGGCAACACCAACGACGACGACGCGCCCTGGCGGGGGGACGATTCTGGGATCGCGGAGGTAGAGAGGGAGGAGCGGAGAGAGACCCTGGAAGAGGAAGCACGGTGTTTGCGGGAAGAGCTAGCTGCGGTGAAGGCTCGCGCAGAGGTGTGATTGCATGCTGATATTTCCCATCTGTTTCGGGTAGATAAGTGGGTGGGTCGAGGTCGGGATCGATGGCGCCACAATTTCAACCGCTAGAAGACAAACCGCCACGCAAAGTTACTCGGTGGGATACTGACAACAAGTGTTGCTCAATTTCCGTGGTGCACAGCAGTCTAAAGGTTTTGTCCCATCTTCGTTGCTACATCAGTTATCTCCCATCCCCTCCCCGCCACTCGTCTACGAGTAAAGGGCAACTCAGGCTGTTCCTCCACCCACCCTGGCCCCGGCTTCCATCTTGGTTTGTTTTCCTCCGGAAAACATGAACAGCTCCTGCCTATACATGTATCCGCACCTGAGCACGATATCCTTTGAACCAGCAGGAGGCGGTGGCATCTATCAATCAGGAACTGGAGGAAGCCGTTTGTGCCAGGGAGAGCGCCTGCAGTGCTGCGGCAGCCGCGCAAGGGGAGCTGGTGCAGGAAAAAGCTAGGGCAGCGGCTGCCGAGAGGCAACTCAAGGGGTACGTCGGTCCCGCGAGAGGCGGGCACCCGTGCATGGCCGATCGCGTTTGGTGGTTCAGGTTCCTGGCCTCTGCTGCTTGGTAGTGGGCCGACGCGGGGCAGCCTTTTCCACTGCACCAGCCTCTCCCCTGCATACCATTAGGTTTTATATTCCGTAACCTTTGTTGCCGCCCCTCTGCACGTTCTCTGGTCGATTGTCCCGCGGTTCCTCCTGCACTCACCGTCAGGGCTACCGAAGAAGCTGCTCAGCTGCGCACACGTCTAAATGACACAACCACAGAGCTGGAGAGTGCAAGAAACGCGTTGGAAACTGACGGGACAAACAGAGTCGGGAAGAGTACGAACAATGGCGATGACGATGAGGACGCGGCGGTCCTGGAAAGCGAGGCGAGCTATTTACAAATATCACATATACTTGTTGGTAGTCCCGTGAAGATGAGTGTTCGCTCGCCCTGTTGGGATGTCCCTGATTTGTATGGGTGGGCGCCATCATGTTCTTATCCACCAAGCGCATTCGTATGTCTACAGCGTTCCCTCGACTTACGTTGTTTCCACTGCGGAAAGTGCGCTATGCCGGTCATGTTTCGTCACCGCCTCGACTTCGCCGAGAGTCACTGCGACAAGGGTTGACAGAGGTGGCTGAGTAGAAAGTTGCTCAATGCTTGCTCACAACCATCAAACCTTTGCGTTACTTGCCCGCCCGTCTCACTCTCCGCTGGCGACCAAACACCGCCCGGGACGCACGCACAGTTGAAGTTAATTCGTGACGCCATCACCGCACAACCGCCGAGTTCCCCAGCGCGAACCGAAGGGCAAGAGGCAGTCAGGCCAGTGGCATCGGAAGATGCCGTCGCATCCGCTCTCGAGAAAGTCAACCAGCTCCAGGAGGAGCTCGAGTCAACTGTTCGAGACAACGTTGAATTGCGAAGGCTGATTGAGAACACCCGGCAGAGGGAGGAGGAGGAGAACCAGCACCGACTTGTTCAGGAGGGCGAGGCGGCGGCGGCCTTGGCGGCGATGTCCTCCCAGCTTGCGGAAAGTACCGAAGAGTTGGAGGGGCTAAGAGAACGCCTGAAGAACGTAGAGCAAGAGGAGGCGCGGATCAGAGCGAGCTGCAGTGAGAAGGTTTCGGCCCTTGAGGCCGCGGAAGGAGAGGTAGCCTCCCTCGGTGCCTCGCTCGCTCATACCACCGAGGCGCTGGAGGAAGCGCGACAGCTAGTGGTCACCAGGGAGGAAGAATCGTCCACCGCGCAGCGGGAACTAGCTGTTGTGCGCGAGGAGTTGAGCAACGTAGCCGAGAAGGAGAGCAATGCTGCGGCCTTAGCAGCGGAGGCGGAAGAAGGCAGAGCAGCGGCAGCGTTGGCAGCCACGGTGGTGTTGGAACGAGAGAGAGCCGCGACAAGTGAAGCTTTGTCGAGGGTAAAGGAGCTAGAAACCACGCTCCGAGAGACCGAAGCGGGTCGAGAATCTCTACTTGATACTGCTGCTTCGGACGCGAAGAAAATCGAGGCCCTGGCCGCCGACGTCGCCAAAGGGCTGGAGGAAAAGGAAGCGGCGAAAGAGGAAGCTCGGGGCGCGGAGGCCCGGGCGTCGACGGCGGAGGCGAAGGTGTCAAGGGTGAAGTCGAAGGTGGCAGCTCTCAAGGAGACCATGGCCGAGGCTGAGAAGGCCCACAAGGTGGCCGTGGAGAAGGAGGTGGAGGCCAGGCTAGCCGTCGAGGAGACGCTATTGATGGCAAACAAGGTGCGAGAGGAAGCGGGGGTGGCAAGGATGGCGCTACTGTCAATTCATTTTTTCACTTTCCTGCGGCTGGAACCATTGCTGTTCCAGACCTTAGAGTTTGCTACGGATGGAGATTCCGGAGGCGGAGCCTTTTTTTTGCCGGCGTTCCACGTTTGCTTCCCGGGCTGTTGTGACGCATTCCGTTGGTGCTGGTTTGCTGCTGTAGCGTATGGAGTCCCGTGTGCGTATGTTCCAGATCATGTTCGGATTCTCCGATGTGTGGTGTGTGTAGGGTGTAGTAGCAGGTACGTGTGGCATTTTACCGCAACGTCGCTTTAGATGCACCGCATCGAGGGCCTATTCCTCGCCCTCTATTGACGAAAAGTCGTACTCTCAACTTCGTTATGGTGTTTAGTCTCAAAATCGCGTTTCCTGTTCCTCCATCGTGGCAAAACTATTGCTTTGAGCTTTCGACGTCTTGATAGCGGTACCGTTGTTGTCCGTGCAAGGTATCGACGGCCCTCGTATGGTGCAAGTTTTAGGCGTTCACACCTTTGCTAAATCCCGTCCAACGATCGACGACGCCTCTGCTGCAGGAGCTACAAAGGCTCAAGATCAAAAACGAGGAGGCGCTCTCAGCATCCAATGGACTGCGTGAAGAGTGTGAAGTCCTCAAAGCCACCGTGGAAACCCTCCGCGCTGCAGCGGTCGCAGCAGCAGGCGACGGTGGCAACAAACTTAACGACGTGTCAACAGCAGTTGCTACGCAAACGGATGAGGCAGAGGAAAACGAAGAAAAAGAGGGGGAATTCGCTCGCCTTCGTGCAGTTGTTGAGGAGATGAAGCGGGGGGGTGACGAGGTTGGCGTCGTACGGGGCTGTGTTGGCGATGTGTCTAGCCATGACGGAAGAGACCCTGACGATAGTGGATCAGACGAAGAGGAGGGAGACGGTGCGCGTCGACACGGGAAGGGGAGGGCAAGCACGAAACGGCAGATTCTGGCGGAGAGAGATAGCCTGCGGGCGGAGCTTGCGAGCGAGAAAGAGCAGGCGGCCGTGCGAGCAGCGGGTTTGGAGGCGCAACTCGCGGACAAAGAGGTGTGAATTCTTCCCATCCAATCGACACGTTCACCTATGCGGAGCCTTCAACGCACTGTAGGCTTGATTTGCGAGTGTATGAGAACGTGAGTGATGGAGACGCCCAAAGGACTCGCGTTTGGCGTCCTCTGTTTCCTCTCCCACGTCCCTTTTCTCATCATGGGCAATTCTTCAACGTCTTGTTTTTTCTTCCCAAGGGGCGCTTGAGCCATCAGACCTTATCAAGATCAGAGGAAGGCAATGTTCCCCATCTTCCTGACTGCCTGCGTGACTTACACGACTGCCTACCTCCCGCCAACTCTTCCTCCGACGCTTGATCATCCAATTCCCAAGCGCGAAGCGGCGGACACGCAGCGGCGGCTGTACCTCAGACAAAGCGAGCTCGAGACCGAACTCGAAGACTTGAACGCACACCACGATGCCCTCCGCGTGGAGTTGGCCCGCATGGATGCCTCTATCGAGAATGCCTCCGATGCCTCCCTCCGCCGCATTCCCTCTTCTTCCGCCACCTCTATGGTGGGTAGAGGAGGCGGAAGGTTGCGCGCAGGGGGCGGCAGCGTGGCCTCGCCAAAGTCAACCGGCAGGGACCCGGCCTCCATCGGAGCGGAGGTGGGAGGGGCAGTCGGCGGGATTTTGAGAGGTAAGTTTTGGTCTGGGTGGGGAGGCGGCAGCGTGACGAGCGCGGATACGAATGGAGGGGGCAGTACTGGCGATGCTGGAGCCGGCAAAGGACCTGCTGCGGCGGCTCGAAAGGGGTCGAAGGCGAGGAGAGAGGGTGGCCGCGGTGATGGTGAAGGCAAGATTTCGGCCGGGGCGGCCGGGGCTGGAGAGGCGGACCAACGGGTGCGGCAGGCGTCAATTTCGGCCTATTGCTTGTGTGGTTGGCGTTTTTGGCTCCATTGCGTTTTCGCCGCGTATGTCACTTCTTGATTTCCATAGACTGTCCACAAGTATTGGCACGAAGGCGAACGAATCAGTACCTCGCTCCATGTATGAGTTCAGGGGTGAAGTGTCCCAACAATGGAAACACCTTGTGCAGGGGTGGGGAGGGATGACTGCGCAGCCTGTTGTTGGTGTGCCGACGACTCTTGCCGTGCTCGAAGCCGATCAACCGGCTCGATCCGTTTCGGAGATGCCACGCGGACAACACCTCTCACGGAGGGCACCCATGGCAACGTAGTCGCCTTGAAGCGCACGCACTCTCCCGAGAGAAACGTCTCGGGACAGGGAAACGCCTGGAGAGGCAGTTGATCTGATCCCGAGTTTGACGAGCTCGACTCGATCTCAAGCCTCTCCTGGATTCTTCTTCGTTTCGTTCAAGGACCTGTTGAGATGACCACAAGCGTGGTGGTTTGGGGGAGAAAACAAGTGCGTCATTCTTTTTCTGCGCCCCTTTGCTTTTGGCCTTTGTTGGCTCCATCTTCTCGTCGTCGACTCTGCAGTCCATCAGTCGGGTGCGTGAGAATATGATGGCGAGGCTACAGGAAGCGGCGAGGGAAGGGAAAGCAGAGCAGAAGGAGACAAGCGGAGGTGCTGACGGCGTCAAGAACAAAGACGTCGGCCACGCCAACACCAACAACAGCGGTTTGCAGGGAGCGAGTGGCAATAATATGGAGGAGACAAGATCTGAGAATAAAGACGTCTCTGATGTTGGAATGGCGGCAGCACCAAGAACGGTAGAAGACGAATGGGTCGAGGAAAACGTGGAGCACCCGCCCCCAGATTATGGACTGGAGTCTCCAGTCATTCGGTGCGAAATCGTCTCCGTCGTTGTGGGTGTTGCCTTGCTGTTACTGTTGGTGGATCCTGTTGCGTTGATGGTGGTGTCACGATATTTTGGTACGCCATCGCTACTTCGTCTGCCCATGTATAATGCCCTGTTTCCGTTGCCTCCGGCCCACCTGCACGAAAACCACGCGTGTACCAACCCGAAGGTACCTGCTGCAACAATGGTCCACTGATCCTGACAAGATCAAGTACTTGTCCCTCTGGCTCCGGTGTGTCATCGAGCGGAGAAAGGTAGGCATGTCGACCTTGTGTCTTGCTGACCCTTTTCCCATGTCACCACGTATTCCACAACTCTTCGCGCATATGCGCGGTTGTTGGAGGTCATGTTCTTCGTCCCCGTTTGCGGGTGCCTTTGTGTTCATCGTTGGTCTTGCCTGCGTAGACTGGAGTAAGGCCAGCCTCTGCCTGCGCGAAACCCCACGCACTACACGCATGAATCGCCGCCGCGTCTGTTTCCGCATCAGGTACCCGACGCTTTCCCCTCGGGCTTACAGCTGGTGGGGTTAGCTCCAGAGATCAAGGTGGGGGGGGTATACTCATAGTCGTACATGCCGTAGTCGTTAGACCATTGACCTCGCATCCCTACAAAGCCGGGACGGAGCACGCCGGGTTCTCACCGGACCAGGCT